TAATAATCTTCGTTGCCACAGGACCCCATTACTGGAACAACCCACCTTCTGCTCAGTTTGGTGTCGGCCTTGGCTCACCCTCAACCTCTACGACTGCAGCTGGTTAGTTATCAGTTGCAGATTCTTAAATTTTACTAATTCGTCTTAATCTATGCTCGTAATCAATTGAATTTTTTTCCCCAGACCGTTCTGTGAAAAGGCCATCATCAGCACGTTCAACGGGAGTTAAAGGCAAAAGGCCAAGAGATGAAGGTGAACCTGCTAGTGGCCCCTTGACTACAGCTGAGCTTCCGGAAAGAACTGACGCAGACTATGATATCCCTCCTAATGATGTGCTGTGCTGCGATAATTGTAGTTTATATATTGGTCGTTTCGTTGTTATGCCATGTGGGCACTATGGTTTTTGCCACAGATGCCTCTTAAGTGAAAAGGGACAGGCTTCCAAGGCAAATCGTCCTGAAAAGTGTTTGGCTTGCAGTGTTACACCAACAAAGTATCTTAGATGTATTCGTGCTACAGCTTTTGGTGATGCACATTAAGTTGCGGTAGATTCTTCCACACCCTGTATTGCTGCTTTGTTTGCTCTATACTAGGCTTGTGTAGGTGCTTGCCTTTTTTTTATTTTAATGTATCTTCTTTTTAATTGTTTTTTCTTTTTCTCCCTTTAACTGTTTTGTCGTAACTTTTCTTCGAAGTAATTTCTAGTTTAGTTTGTAGCTTCAAGCTACTAACTTTCTATTGTTTTGGGATTCTCCGTCCGAGTGGGGTTCAAAAGTTTCTCCTAAATTTTAATTCCTATTTTCAGTGTTTAGTCTTCCCTTTGTCTCGAACTGTGTTTGTTCTATTGTTATTCATGTTTGTATATGGTTGATCTACTCCAGCTTGTTCATTTTGCTATATGAGTCACATGACAGTTTTGTATTCTTGTGCTCTTGTTGTGCTGCTATATGCTGTAGCTTGTGAGCTTAGACTGAATTGCTAAAGTGTTGTCACTTTGCCTTAAATCGCGTGAATGGAGAAGCCTCTCGTAAATTTTAATTAATATTTTCAGTGTTAAAACTTCCCTTTGTCTCGAACTGTATTTGTTCTATTGTTATTCATGTTTGTTCATGGTTGATCT